ACGTATGGAGATAGATATTAATTGTGTTTTTTTTTTTAAGAAAACAGCGAAATTTGCTGTTATGACTAGTTTTCTTGAGGCGGTCACTAATGGAGACATGCGTGTTTCCTGTACGTATTTGTAACGTACGCTTAAATATACTCAAAACTACCAACCTTTTTCAGAATATACACATAACGCAATACTCATTAATCATTCGTTGATACTTTTGCACAAAATTGTTTTTCAATATTTACTTTCAACGACGTAATAAAACTGTGATTGCACCGTGACAAACGCCACATCTACTAACGTGACGACAAACATGTACTCGATCTGTCACTGATAGCGACAAGAACGCCTTATTTCACATTTTCACGAGTATTTATTAGTTAAATATCACTGAAATCATATATCAAATCGTGGTCCACTAATCGCCAAATATGATGAATATTCTTTTCGAAGATGAATTACTTAAAACTTCTGATTAATTTAATAAAAATCCGTGAATGGTCACAAATAGGGATATTTACCTTTTTGCTAATTTTTAATATTGTTCGAATGTTGAAATAGAATTATATAAGCACAGAGAAATATTTATTCAAAATTATTTAATATCTTTTAGAGCTTTTTAACCGAGGATTTTTACGGCGATTTATTTTGGTTGAAGAAGTTCTTTGTCCATAGTTTTTAATTTACGAACAAACAACGCACACTTCATGTATAAAAATATGTTTTTTAGTTATTATGTGACGCACAAAATAAAATATGTATAAAAATTATAAGCGTTAAATATATCAGGCTGCATAATATGTAATTATAACGACTTGGTATTAATATCAATTTGTTTAACGTGGAAACTAATAAACGTGGATGCGATCAGATGCTGGAGAATCGAAGTTAGTGACATCATAATACATACAGGCGCAAGTAGATTATTCAAATTTATCGGAAAACCGATGAAAACGAAGCTAATAAGCTGCTTAGACCATGCAATAACTGCAATTCACACGTGTATTATGGCACATATGAGGGAATACCTATATTAGACACCGTTGTACTAACGTACACCGTTGTACTAACGTACAACACTTTGTACGCCTTGCTGCGGAATATTATTTCATATTCACATGCGCGTATGTTTACCGTATGTGCAGTGCACAGCCTTTACGTGGCATATATAACCAAGAATTACACGCAGAAGTGAAAATTTCTCGCTTCGTGTACGCCGTGGAAACATAACACGCCCATTTTTCTACCCCTTTTCCCAGCCAGAAGGAGAGGAAGAGAGAGAGAGAGAGGAGGACAGGGAGGTAATGAGAGATAACATCGCATATACAGACTGTATTTATTTAAACGACCTGAATTAAATTCTCCTGTTCTTCGTTTAAAACTTGGGTTTTGATCTTTTACACGTGCGTATTTTTTTATAGTGTATTTTTTATATTTTTTGACAGAAATTGCGGTAATTCTGCAAAACGAAAGTAATTCTGGACACAGATCTTAAGAAACTTGTATTTTCTCTCATAAATGTTGTGCATTAAGAACTACCATCGAGAATTCACTCTCACATTACGTTCTATGTTAACAACGTAGAAGAGTAATTACAGTAAATGTAAAAAAAATAATTAAATTTTCCAAATAATGTTTACTAGCGGGATATACATATAGATGTTACACCGTATATTGTGTCGGAAAAACATGCATTCTTTGCTGACTTCTTGCGAGCTTCAAGCATCAAGACTGCGAGATTGCCAAGATATAATTTTCTCCGCACGTGTTCCTGGCACGAATTCGTCGATTTTCGTACGTGCGATAGCGTGGGTGGAAAAGATTAAGGGTGGATTATATGAATTCCCAACGCAACCCGGCGGTGATCTTGTCAAAGGAACAATGGACCAAAGGGAGTCGCACAAAAAGAGACGGACTGAGCCGATGTCTCAGTTATACGATATTCCAGGACGCAAACAGAATTTGCAGTTCCCGCGTGCAAAATCGTTCGCGAGCCAGTTTATATCTAAGAGATAGGAGACAAATGTATCCGTCGCAAGATAGCGTGACTCGTGACGACGTATCAGTTACTTTCGCGTCGGCACCTTGTTCGTCAACAAGCGCCAAGCGTACAGGCGCGAATATGCATTTTACCTCTCGCTTTACGCCAGTTCGAAAGTGGATTTGCTTTTGCTACTGTGTGCACAGCCGGCCGGAAATGTGCAAGCAACGTGGGAAAACCCCGGGCAGAAATATCGAACCGTCTTACCGTTCCCGGTGCGTGTTCCGTTTCGTTTCGAGCGCGACGGAAACAACGAAAATTAATAATGTGTGCCGTAATGTGAACTGCAACGATAAAATACGCATCGCGTATTGCATTAACGATGTAATCGGGATGCGTCGGAATGTCCGCTGGAAAAATACACCGAATATCCTCGTTTGAATTCGCCGGAAGCCGTGGACAATGCTGGCCCGATGATGTGCAAAATCGCGTGCGACGTACGATCGTTCCGCGTGCGCGCGCTTGCGATTTTCGGGCGAGATTATTTCCATGTCCGCGAGAAAAGATGAATAGGACGTGATCGCTTTCGAGAAACACGCGAATGCACTGAATCTGCCGTACAGGGCATTATTGGTATCGCATTAAGGTATCTACAATGACGCCAATTTTGAAAATGTGTAGCCGTTCGGTATTAAACGGCGATCTGTTGCGGTTTATCCGTTCCGTCGCTTGCTTTGAAGTCAGTTATTAATATTGCACATTTTGTGGAGATTTATCGTGTTAATTGAAGTTTAACGCATTTATCAATTTATCAGATATCGTTAAAAGGCGTACGCAATATACTTTGATTATTATTTAATATACCAAAGAGGCAAAGGGGTAACACATTGCGCACATTATATCATTTTATAATTACGTTTTTGTATTAAAATGTTTATATTGAAAGTTAATTTAAACTTCAAATTGTGGTTACGCACGGAGAATACAATCGTACATTTACTCTGGATGAATAATGATGTTTATTATGAATTTATAATGAATATCGACGATTACGTTCAAAACGTAATAATGCATTTCAAATTTCTTTTTGATTCGACAAAAAAAGGATACGGTATATATAACACCAGAAATATTTAGTTGTGAGCAACATAGTTGCATCATCCTAGTTACATTTGTGTGATGATAATGTGTATGGTTAATATCCCAGTAAGCAAGAAATCCTTTGACCGCGATTTGGAATATCGTTTCAATAATGTTGAAATAGGGTTGCTATAACATTTCAATCGGCAGAAATATTTTTAAGATGTTGCATTGATTTCAAAGAAATGTTAAAGTAACATTTGAAAAATATATTTTTTGTAATGTTTTTAAAATGTTTAAATAACATTCAGAAAAATCATATCACAAAATAACACGTGAAAAATATAAATTTAATATTATTAAAAAATGTCAAAACAATGCACATGAAGTCAACGTTTCTAAACGTTAATTTAATGTTCCTTGCTTACTGGGATGGTTCTCTCAGTTATTTACTTTAATGCATCAACGTAGTTGGGCGTGATCTGGTTGTGGCGATCAGAAATCGGTTGAGGTGACATTTACAATGGACACCAACAGCAAAATGGCGTAGAAGTGCATATTTATTGAATGCCTGGAGCCAAATATTGAGATAGACTGTAGATAGATAGATAGATGCACTGTAAAAACAAGTGTGTTATCAGGTGTGTTAAAACAACACACAATTCACTAATTTGGTGTGTTTATGTGTTTAAGCAACACAACTGCGGTTGTAGATGTGTTGAAGCTGCACGAAATGCACTTATTTACACATGAGTTATAACACACTTCGTGCGTATTACCACTGTAACTCGGTAAATTGAATGCATATAATGTGTGTATAAATAATACAGGAATCGCAGAACAACACATTTGAAAAAAACACACATTACTAGAATTACTAGAATTACACACTTATAAGAATTACACATTGAACCTCGCAGTACTCAAAAAGAATGAATAAAAAAATATGAGGATAATATTAATAATATGATGAATCCAGTTGTCACTGACAAGTATTTTTGCATCCTGCGGAAAGCATTGGCTATTATACAGGTGATAAAATAGTAGAATTTTTAAAAATTTAATGTGAAATGCGCATGTATAGGCTGAGACTTTAGATGAAAACAAAATACACTTAAATATAAACATTTTATTGGTAACATGTAGTTCCTTCCCTTTCTCTTTCCTCTCTTTCTCTCTAAAAATGTTTATTAACATATACTAAATTATTCGCCTATATATGCGCATTTCATATGAAACTTTTCGATAATGAAAAGTTAAATTAGAATATTGAAATGATTAAAGAATATTCATTTATCTTTCTTATAACAATCTATATATATTTCATGAAATGGTACGGATAATGTATTATAAACGATTAATAAAATTCTCATTGACCATAAAATTTTAGAAGAATGCGGGAGTTTCCTAATGAATCTATATTTTGCAAAGAAACTACAAGACATATTTTTTATATGCATAAGTTCGTACATATTATATGCATTCAGTTAACGCAACACAAATTATATGTGTCTATAGAACACATTTTTCGTGTGTTATATCTACACGTTTCTTGCAAATCTACATACTTTGCGTGTTGCACATTTATAAAAAAGTGATCACAGGGATTACATACGTAAAATATCTTAATGTAACACCCTCCTTTTTACAGTATAGGTCCACAATTGATACACTCTATTTGGAGCAATCATATATCATCACTGCTGCAACGCAATAATTCAGCAATTGTTTTATATTTAAGAAATTACATAATTAGTTGCTCCGTATTTTGCTATTGAATTTGCAAATCCGTGCAATCAAGTTTATGCGTGAACCAACCATACCGTTTTATCCGTGTAAACATTTTATCACTAAGAGATAAATTTTTATTACTATCAAGAGAGATGTATAATTAATGGAGGTGTCGCTACTTTTCGAAACTAATTACATATCGTTTGTATTTTCGCAGGTGAATGGGTCTTGGAGTTTACCTGGATTTGTTTGTGACTTTTACATCGCAATGGATGTGACCTGCAGCACTAGCTCCATATTCAACCTCGTGGCTATTTCTATAGACAGGTAAACATTTATCGTTTATTTGCATAAGAATCGAAAAGCCCGACCCCGAGATATTGCTCAGAATTTCTGAAATAAGCATTTCGGTATTTTTCTTTTCAACATTAGATAGTTTACGCCTCTAAGACGGTTTGTCGAAATCATTTAACATCTTAATTATAAAACTGCACACGGACGATTGTCGCCCGAGGAGGAGGAGTGTTATACGCAATGCGTAATTGTGTAAAACGTGTGGAAAATCAAAATCTATCATGGAATATATTATTTTCGAAAATTTTAGAACTTTCCGGAATTTGTCGTATGCGTCTAAATAAACTATGCCTGGACAGAAATTCAGCACGATTATCTACGTTCATCGTTAAATTCCGGCAGTTGGGAGTTCGCGTATGCGCGTTGACTTTCTGCCATTCTTGTCGCAGAGGGGACGCGGTGATTATCGGGAAAGTTTGAAATCAGAAAAAGGGGATAGGGCTGATTTTACTGGTTTACGTGCTCCGAATAAGACACGGGCAAAAGCTCGTATGCTTGGAATGCGGCTCGCTAATAAGAAAATTAGATATATATCGGCCCTAGGAAAATGAAAAGGACGTTCTAATTTGCCAACATAGTTTTTCAAATAAATGAAAAATCGTGTATGTCGCGGAGAAAATAATCACCGACAAAGAGAATTAGCAGCATTGTGTATGTATGTTGAAAAAAGCACATGAACTGAAAAAGTGTACGTGAATTGTATTCTTAGATTGTATTCTGAACAATATTTATCCGATAACGTTTGTGATTTCGTATCGTTTATGTGATTTCGTATCCTTGAATTATGGATGAGAATAACTGCAACGTTACAACGCACTTTTTTCTCGTTTTCCAAACGTGGTTGCCAAGGGACTGGTTAATAAATCGGTCAATGGATAAACGAGATAGAGCGCTCGAGTAGTTTCTCAGCGATATGGCGAGCATTGTATTTACAATTCGATTCTACAGAAATATATTGTTGTTAGGTAAGATGCAGGAGCATAGGAAGTAGACAAATCATACATTCAAGCAATTTTCCGCTTGGAGAAATCTGCCATACACAATGAGAAATTGTCGTGAACGATGCTGTAAAGTTGGCTGAAAACATTTCGAAAGACTCAGCAAAGAAGCTTTCGACTTTCAAACTATTTTGCGCGATCTCTTCCAAACTTCAGAAACGGCTGGCCACAATGGCTTAAAGATAGTTTAGCATTTATGTTTCAAATTTCTTCTTTTATAAAAAATAGAAAAAAGAAAGCAAAAAAAGCTGTACGATAAATCACAATTTTTCCTAAACAATAAAGATGTGTGTCTAATGCTCGTGTAACGAAGATGCTAATTTTAAATTGGTTCCCGAAAAGTCGATTTAACAAGTAAAAACAATGTATCATTGATTCCACAAACTAAAAAGCATGTAAAATAGTATATTTTAAAATTATTTTCACTGAAAATTGTATTTAAGTTTATTAACCATGTGTAAATATTAATTGAAAGTTTCTTTTAGATTCTATTGCATTTAAGATTTATTCAATGGCCTAATCTCGTTCCGAAAGAGCCTTGGTAGAAATGTATGCAGTTTTCGTAGACATTTGTCCAGTTATTATCGAGTATTAATGCATTCTCCTTAATTGTAAAAATGCTACGCAAAAAGGAATTGGACAAGAACTTGATAGAATTTATTTTGAAACAGTTTATTTTGCATTATGTGGACCGAATTAAAAAAAAAAAAAAATATATATATATATATATATATATATATACAGGGCCTGCCAACGAAAACTTTCCACTCCGATTTTTTGACACCTATTTAAGATTCTTGGAGAGGTATCCTGATTAAGAGAATGAAGTAGTATAGTTAACTTTATCATAATCATACAAACAATATTGATGTATATTGATATTTTTTACAAAAATTGATTGGTTGGAATCAGAATAATCGGGGTGGAAAGTTTTTATATTGGTAGACCCTGTATATATATATATATATATATATATATATATATATATATATATATATATATTCAGTAATAATAACTCGATGCTTTATTTTAGAAATTCATGTCACGTGCGCTGTGTTCGATCCATATGTTACACTTGATATGACATCAAATTTGAGATTTTTTTCCTTAGTAGCAAATGTTCCATTGTCTTAACAGCATATATAATATCGTAATATTGTATTCGACCTTTCCGCTCTTTTCGTTTTCGCGGTTTTTCCAATGAATTGTTGTTGCGTTACGACACCACCTTATAATCCGTGCTGAAACTAAATCAGTCGTGCAAACAACGTTAGTCATATAATGCAAACGCGTATAATCGTATTTGTACGGTGAAATTAAATAAAATATATTAAACTGAGAGAAAGCCAACTTTCTTCGAGCACGTAGCAACACGGTTATCACTTGGGCGAAAACATGGAAGGCACAGACCGCATAAAATTTGAATGGGAACTTTTCCCATCCAACAAACAAAACAATATAGTATCAGTAATATTAATTCATCTTTATGATGTACACGTTTTATAATGTCTAATAATAAATTTAAAAGATATATATTTTTATGTTAAGAGCTTAAAATTACATGAACAATCAGCAAACGTGTAGAAAAACATATAGGAAAAGCACAAAAAGGAAAATTAGAGAAAATGATTTAAGAATATTAAGTCTTGTGACTGAGATAACTGAAGTTAAAGATAAAAATGAGCAAAAGATAAATGGAGTATATGTTAGTAATGCAGAATTTTTTATTGCGATAAAAACATATTATTCTTTTCTGATGACAATGATATAAATTAAAACTATAATGATAGCTCAGAATCTGATGAAATAATATACTATAAGAATAGATAAAAGAATATATGTGATGCTCGTAAAAGATGTCACATAAAAGATGAAAAACTTGAAAATATATACAGTGTTCTCCGTAACGTTGTTCACTATATTTTTATTAATTATAATGGTTGAACAAAAAACAGTTCTAGATACGATTAATCAGTTTTTAAACGATAATAAAATGCAACAATAAAAATGTTAAAAATGTTCTCTTTTCATAAAGAATCAAAGTATTTCATAAATACTTTTGTTTTCCTAAATGGAATTATAGCTGTTCATTTATAGTATTGTAAAGAGAATACACAAAACACACAATTTCAGAAAATATATAAATTCAAATAATTCATAATATTATTTTTATTGCTATTTTATATTGAAAAAGACCGCAACATAAAATAACAATGAAAATTTTTAACACCAGTGTGTAATACCAGTATGCAGAAACATAAATCGAAATATCCTAATTGACACGATATGTAAAATTCTAATATAAAAAATGGAGTTTTTTTATATTGCATAAAAATGGATTACATTTTGAACATATCCTGAATATTTAACATTATACATTACATTGTATCACAAACATTATCCTATCTTCGATTTGTTCACTGTTTAATGTTAATAAAAATAACATTATAAATTACTGTATTGGATTTGCTTTGATACCTTTTACAAAATAAGAAATAAAAAAGTATATGTTCTTAAAAAAATTTTAAATAGCCTTGTTTCCTTTTTTTATGGAAAAGAACATTTCCGAAATTTTTATTATTATATCTTATTATCGTTTGCAAGTTAATTAAGTATATTTATAGCTTTTTTCTCTCGATCATTGTAATAAATAAAAAAAATAAATACGATGAACACCCTGTATTACACACCAAAGATTTTCTGCGCTATGACTTTTATTAACATTAAAATTTTTCAATTAAGAAACATGCAAAAAAATGAAACTTTACAAAGGAAAACTTACTAATTTTATGAGCAACAGAAAATTATCAATTAATTGTATAGTTTGTCCACTTTCTGTTCTGTTTTCGATCAGTGAGTTAAGATTTTGCGCATCTTGTGCAGTAATTGCGAGCAGGCATTACATTCGAATTGGAATCCCAAGTAGTATCATTCTTCAGTTATTAAACAAAAGTTGACTCAATTGTCCAATATCTGTTCAAAAACTGCATTAAGTTTCTACCAGGGAGACATAATTGTTAAAAATAATAATCAAGTAAATCAACAACAATAAATATCAGCTACAAATCGTACGAGACACCCTGATTTTGAAGAGTGGGTAAGATAGGAGTGTTGCCGAATCTACCCGCGGACGGTTTTACGGCGATATAATGCTCGCCGCGTGCTCGGAGAGTTGCAACGCACGCGAAACGGATTTGTATTGCAGATACATAGCGGTGACCCAGCCGATAAAGTACGCAAAGCATAAGAACAATAGAAGAGTGTGGCTGACGATACTGTTGGTCTGGGCGATATCGGCCGCGATCGGCAGCCCGATTGTCCTAGGCTTGAATAACACCCCCGACCGGATACCGGACCAATGTCTGTTCTACAATACGGATTTTATCATCTACTCGAGCCTGTCCAGCTTCTATATACCCTGCATCATCATGGTATTCCTCTACTATAACATATTCAAGGTAAGAGGCAGCGCGGAATATGATACTTTACCCCCGAATCCGACATCCGTACGATCCTGTATTCTTTCCGCGTTTTTCACAAGAGCGAATTGAAAGAACGCGTGGTGCGTTGCTTTAAAAGTCTCACATTGCATATACCACCATATACTCATGAAGCATAGCTCATATATGCTTTCGATGGGCACGTTATCGTATGCGGCAGGATCATATTTGTCTCATGGCTGCTACGCCATAAAACTTGAGGGAATTAATCTTTTTGTTCAAGTCGAAGTTTTTATCACAAGATTACACGACCTTTTTATGCGCACATATAAAGTATAGTATACGAGGGAAAAAATGTTCTCTCATAGAAGTTGAGAAACGCTGATATTAATAGGTCAGGCCGTCTAGCGGAAAATATAGGATTATACGGTTAATCGAAATTGCGCGTCAAACGAATATATATATATATATATATATATATATATATATATATATATATATTAAATAAATTGTCATTGTACTCTAACGTTTAGTGTAAATTCTAAAACTGAAGAAATTCTGAAACAATTAAAAAATAGCTATTTAATAATTACACTTTCAAATGCACTGATAGATATTGTAATCTTAAAAATTTGTAATTCTCTTCCCGATAAAGTATAAAACTTCGAAGTAATTAAAATTACACTAGTTAATGTTTAAAAATGATATAATATGTTGCATAGCGATAGTATAAAAAAAAAGACGCTTTACAATTCATTGCCAGTATTCTGCTCCAAAAGGAAATCGATAGTTGTCTTTGTAGTCGAATCGACGCGTACACGCGCGATGACAAGACGCAAAGGGAATTATCTCTTGTTCGATTACAAAAGCGCAAAAATTTATTCGCGTCTCTTTTATCTCGGTGATTAATTCAGGAACGTGAACTGATCGCGACATTGGCTGCACCATGAAAGGCCCTTGTGAAGGCGAGGCGCTGTCTTCGTAATTTAATTGTCACATGTATGACACGATGCCGCTGGAATAAATTCTTGTCTTCGTTCCGGGTGGTGCAATTTTTTGAAATTTGTTTTGTAATTACTGTCTCTTTGGAAGCTGCGGAAAGAAATAAAGTAACACACAAAAATTGGCACCATGTAATCAGATATATTATAGAAGTCATAAGAGTACAGTGCAATCGAGCAAATTCGTAGGAAGAGTACCGAGACTATATGGTCCCAGAAGTATATTGCTCAATTTTTAGTATTTATCTTGAGAGGAATAGTAGATACAAAATCACAAACTGGTCTTTTTAATACATAAATATTTTTTCCTGAATTTCATTAAAATCAAAATCATATTACGGTTAAGCAATAGGAAAAACTGATTTGGTAATAATGAAGTAAATTTTCGAGTCTTTTAAAACTTTGTATTAATATTTTCCATCGTGACTGAATGAAATTAAGCGACGTGATATTAGTTAGAATAAAATTTTTTGTAAGTGATATATTGATATATAATATGATATATTGTTTTTGTTAATAAATACAATTTTCGTTCATAAAATGATTGAAAGAAAGCATATAGACGAAAAAGGTAAAGTTGGCCCCATAATTCAAGATTGGTAGGAGAGCTGTGGAGACCTCTCACGGAGATTCTAGAATTGTTAAATCAAGATACATATTTTATCAGGGTTGTGCCGGATAGATTTCAAGATTATGTCTACAAGAATTGTTTACGTTATTGTGTAATTTATTTAATGCTTACATGGTCCTTTTTCCATGTAGATACTGTAGACAATGGGTGTTTACGATAATTCGAGTTAGAATCAGTACGAGTTAGTTTCACTAGGGCCGAAAAATATGATAGGCACAAGCATCTAATATTTTCATGATTCATGACAACTCAATGCTGTCCGATAAATCGAGTAGAATAGAATAGAGTTAGGGTAGCATAGCGGAAAATATATGTAAGAATTAACAGTATCAGGTAACATAGTTTCGTAAAATATGTAACAATAATATTACGAAATGAGTTATTATATTTAAAAAAAATTAGAAACACTAAATTAAATTATGAAAAGGCATCATGTATTTGTGAAATATCCAAAAGTAGAAAACTATTATTTTAACCTATCATTAACCTATTATTATTGAATATTTCACAAATAGATACTGAATAGGTACTGAACCCAAGGTAAGATGGCTATATTGCTGCATGTTTGTATTTTTGTTATTACAAAATAAAAACGATTAACAAAGGGCATTAATACATAGAAAAAGGTTGTCTCTATCGTGTTTATACAGTCAGTCACAATAATTAATTGCCTGAGAAGTTGTAATTTCGAAATTCTAAAATATAGGGCATCTAGCACCGGTTTTCCTTTATTACAAAATTAAATAGCGCAATTACTTGAACTGAAAATGTTCTCAGCAATATAACACAACTATTTTCATATTAATGGCACGAAGTAATTATAACGATCTCATTGTGAGTTGCGCAATGGGATTTGGATATTATCCGGGTGTTATATTCGGATGTTATGTTCTAATCGATCTATAGTTGACAAAACTGTTGGAGTTTTATAGGATTAATTGCGGGCGCAGATGGAACAAATGCACTGCGGTTGACGCCGCGGTTGCGATTATATTGCGGTTGAACGTAAATATACGACTAGTCTGACAATTTCCGCTGTGTGCGGTATGTGGAATATTTCGATTGGTTTGTTAATTTCATACTTGTGGCAGTTGTGCACGGATAATACCTGTGAAATGTTGCAATAATATTGATACATGATCTTTGTTTTCAATATTATGCAGCCACATTCCTGCGTGGTATCATAAACTCACATTGTTTGCAAAACTGATAATATCGATGATAAAACTGAGGATATCGGTGCCAACTATAAATTCTTCTTAAAATTATATGAAACATAGAAGGTAACTTTAAATTATGTGAAACATAAAAGGTAACTTTAAATTATATGAAACATAGAAGATAACTTTAAAGAGAAGAAAAAAGAAATATTCTGTTGGATTTTACAACAATTTTGCGAAGAACGCAGGATTTTAGTAAATTTTGCATTTTATTAGAACTTGATCTTAAATTTGTAGTTCAAATTTTGTCTTAATTATTCAAATGTTTTTCAGAAAGCTTGTAAATAAATGTAAGTATAAATACATTTAAAATATAAACTGCCCTCAACAGAACTACTTTCATTAAACGACACAGAGACACGGTTTACTCACTCACGGTTTACACGACTTTGTTATTAATATTTAAAAATTCTAAGTTTTGCAAAGGACAGGTTTGTAATATTTTTTGGGTGTAAGATTATGAGGGATTCGCTTTTCCTATGAAAATGACAGCATCAAAATGTGCTAACGTCGAAGGGCGTTATCGTAAAATGTGAATATTGGAAAACGCATAGCTTTTCTTCTAAACTTACAAGAGAAACGAAGCTCTTTTCGATGCAACTAAATCAGTAGTGAAATATTACAATGCTTATCGGCGCGCAGATTTTTCTTCGTAAAAACCATCGAAATAAATTTCCTTATACTTTGAGATAGGCTTTCGATAATACATTTCAGGCGTTGTCCGTAGGAATTTTAAAGATTTATATTGTACGTTTATGCCTTGCGTTTATAACCTCCCGACTGATTTATGTCGCAATGTTTCAATTGACCGTTTCAGGCTCTGCGAAATAGAGCGAGAAGGGCTCGTGCTAGCAAAAAACCGAATTTAGGCGATATAAAACCGGGGAGCATCATCGAGAATATCGCACACACACGCAGGTGAGTACTTGACTATATACTGCTCTTTATATACTTAGCAATCGATTTACTTATGCTATAAAAATTACAACAAATACGATCAATGTCCGGAGTCTTATTTCCGAAGATGTTCTTTCATCAATTTATACGCATATTCGATTTAGCGATCGTCCTTGACTCAATCGGAGGATTTGCGAACTCAATTAAAATTCTTTGTCAACCTTATCAACAATCAAAGTTTTGGAAACAAATGAAAAATCTTGTTGAGATATTAATGTCACATTTTTAAGTGAAATTTTTTCTTACTTGGAGAGAAAGAGAGAGAGAAATTCTTTCTTTCTTTCTTTCTTTTCACTATAAAAAATATATGAAAATTATGTTTTGTGTATGATGATCGTATTATGCTGTATCTTTTATCGATACAAGTACTGCTTAGCATGCACGCATGCAAATACATGTATCGATGTCTGCTTTCTTGTTCTAACGCAATATATATTTTAAAGTGATTTTTGTGCGAAGAAGAGGACATATATTAAAATCTAATCAAGGACTACACATTAATATATTTCATAAACTAATCGAATTAAAAGAATATTTTCTCTTTAAAGATTTCGCATTCGCATTATAAGGTGAAAATCCCAATTAATGACAACTGCGTTTGTTTTTCTCAATAAACCACTCAATATGAATTCACATTTATCTTAAAACCACATTTAATAGTATTTTAAATTTTATATATTTTCAATGATGAAAAATTTTGTATCAATAAAATTAGAAGTCATAATAAATGATAAAATATCATTGCAAGCGTACTCTTGATAGCGACAGTTCGAACAGTTACTTGATATCTTAGAAGTTGACGATTAATATCACATTTCTATTTATTACATTTATGCAATTATTCTTTAACTTTAAGTGATTGAAATAGTAATGTGAAACTTGAGAGAAGAATAAGACATATTTTATAAGCAGAGAAAGTAATACAAGATATTCGTAATTAATCTCACTACTAAGATATTTATTTGTCTTCCTTAATGACAAACTAAGTATGGCATAAAATAATATAGACATTTTTATTTCTAAAAGAACATATGATTTATAAATTTTATTTATTATAGAGTTAAGGGGATGCTGAAGCTGAAAACTTCACAGACAGAACGCTGACATTTTTCTGCAAAGTTTACCTCGTATTGGTATACAGAGTTATAAATGCTTTTACGCAATGAAAGTACGTGCAAAGATAAATAGAAGCATTGTTTAATATGTAATGAAAACGAACAAAAAATTTTTAATATAAAATCTCAAGCTGTCAGCATAATATTTGCCTAATCCAAAAGTTCCGCAGCTTGTACATGCCGAAAGTGTGAATGCTCCAAACAGAAAAACTTTGAAGAACATCACTCTACCTTTGCATCTGCATTTGAAAGCTTAAAAATATCGAAAAAGTTTGCAGAAAGATTTCTACACATATATGATTAGGTTTTCCGTTGAATATGATAAAATTAAGCAACACACATTTATGTAAGTTCTGTACATACAAGAAATACGAAAAAGATAGCATGATTATGTTAGTGACAATCGTCTCTACATTATCGACATTGTTCGAGTTCGTCATCGACTTCAGCATCCTCTTAAGAAATAGCATTAATATAATAACTTGCGTCTCCAGAATGTATTATATAGTACAAATATAATAATATATAATAATATAATATATATAATATATAATATATAATAAATATAATAATAATTATTGATATATTAATACATTCATGTTTCTGTACCGATTTATGATATTTGTATAAATGAACGAACTTATCGTGAAGTTCGATTATAATTACGCTGTCTCGTCCGAATGGATAAATCGTAGTCGCGCCCTATCGCGGTTACCTTAATAAGCTTCTTAAAAGTATACATAAAGTGCAATACAGGTGGCGCTCTGGTGGCCTCTGCATCGCGCGCGCCAAGAACTTCATTATTTTAAAGCTGCCCAATCTGGTGTAAAGTGGTTGGGAATATTGGGAGTGGGTGGGAGTAATTCATCCGGACGAGACAGTATAATTATAATCGAATTTCACGGTAAGTTCGTTCTATTATACAATTATGCAAGTTCTCGTCCGTATAGATAAATCGTAACTGTTTAAAGCTAAGATTTGGCCAAATGAAAAATAAAAGTTTTCAGCCAAATTTTTATTCGAATATTCGTGAACTATCTAACATAAAAAAAAAACAATTTTATTTATTAAGAATAGTAGATTAAAAGGATGGATACTTAATAATAGGTCTATTATAAAACCAAGTGAATACCTCTGAGGTTTTACAATAGACCTATTATTAAGGATCCATCCTTTCCATCTACTATTTTAAATAAATAAAATTGTTTTTTCTTATGTTAGATAGTTCACGCATATTTGAATGAAAATTTAGCTGAGAACTTTTATTCTTCATTTAGCCAAATTTTAACTTTAAACAGTTACGATTTATCCATACGGACGAGAACTTGCATAACTGTATAACAGAACGAACTTACCGTAAAGTTCGATTATAATTATGCCGTCTCATTCGGATGGATACTCCCACCCACCCAACCACTTTACACAACTTTACACACACACACACACACACACACACACACACACACACACACACACACATATATATATATAGTGTGAATACTTATTATTTTTTATTATTTATAAATTTATAAATTTCTTTATTTTCACGATGAGATTACTTGATCACTAAATGGAACCTTACGTAACAAATTCGGATAAAACTATCCAGTAAACACAAAATATCATCGATATTATATAATGTCAGCTCAATCATATGGTATATTACGTAACTGTTAATTTGTTATATAACAAAGTAGCAGATTCATGATATACCATATGATTGAGCTAACACTGTAATATGGATGATACTTTGTGTCTACTGGGTAAACTGTTATGTCACTAAATAGTACATCAGATATTCTTTTGAAAGAATATATAAACAAAATAAAATCATCCCATAAATTAAAAGAATATAATATAATTAAAATCCTAAATATTTAAGCTTTTCTTATAAATAAATGTTGTGTAGCTTAACACATATATCATTAATTAATTAATTTATTCTTTCAGTAAGGTTATTTGGTCACCAATTAGGACATTTATTTTATCTCATAATATAAGCGTTACCATAAAATATTGAACAAAGTACGATTTATAAGCTTTCTACGTTTACATGTTCCACTATGCATCCTTGAACTACTGCATTCTCGATTCTCGTGCCAGCAGGTCTATAAATTCTTGGATTTTTAACTCTTCGTGTCTCTTGGTACTATTTCTCGGGTTGTTGAATACGTAACTGCGCAAGTAGACTTTATCTTTAGAATAATCCATTGAATCATGGAATCTCGCTGTTTCAATCTTAACTTAAGCAATCGCTCACATAAACTCCATGCGCTACTTCTTTTTTAATATATAAACGTATGAGATATTATTCTTCCCTTATAGAAATATCATACTAAGAATCATTGATAATTACTTATTTTTAGTATTAAAAATACTGGATAATAAATAATTATCAATGATTCTTAGTATGATATTTCTATAAGGGTTGTATATATTACCAAGGCTACATTACAATATTCAATGCCAGTATGGAAAAATGTATAATATAGATTTTCAGTGTTGGCAATAAATACCGAAATACATCCTAGGGAGAATTTACTCGAGTAAAAATTAGAAAAATTTAATATTAAATTATTAAATTTAATTTACTCGAGTAAAAATTATAAAAATTATAAAAATTTTCAAGGAAAACTAGTGACATGACAAAAACTAGTCAGTTTTATCAGACAGTATAACTGTTAAGTAACTGAATAAAATCATGTTGAGATAAAACTAATTAAATTAGCCAGTACAGAGGTAATTCAAATTCTTAATGGATGGAATTTTGTGTTAGAATAGTATTTTCTTGGTTAAAACTAGCCAGAAGTTAACCAGACCAAACCGTCTATAATATACCAGACGTCTATAATATACTAGTTCATAAGCCTTAGTTCCGTTCTGCTATATGATGTACAACTTGGACAAATATGTATACACACTGTTTCGTATATGTATACATGGACAGTATGTACCTTGACTCAGTAACCTCATATACGGTGTATCCTCCTATTTGTAGAGTAACTGTATTCCAATCAATCATTAGATCCGCTACCAATGCGTTATTTAAGTATATAACTTTTGTGTATACTGAATGTAGAGAACAATATTCTAGTATATTATAGATGTTATAGACCAAACAGATTAGTAACTGATAGTTAGTGCATGCCCAATCTAAACTCGCAACATTCAGTTCTTATTTTCTGACTAAAAATTATCCAGATATTAATAATCAGAACAAACTAATTAGCAAATAATAAATTTGTTTATATCTATTTACTCTCTCTACTGACTTTATTATCTACCGACAATATTCTGGTTAATACTTTTTAATCATTCTATTTTTAGTTGCTGCAATAAAATTAGATTATGTGAAGTTAATGTTCTTGGTTTTATTAACTCTTTTTTATGAGTAGTTATTATAGCAAATATTAAAAAGGAAATATAAATATATAAAAAGAGCTAAAAAATATGCATTTTGATATAAATGCAAATATACACAGATATTTAATATTTTTACGGGATTAGTGCATAAAATATATTTTTATGACTAATATGCTAAATGTTTCGATTATTTTTCAATCTCCTTCAATAGCTATTTTCTATCAAAATTCGATAATTAACCGATTTCGGTAGTTAGTAAATTTGTCGAACTTCTGTTAAGAATAAATAATTCTATTGAACACAGATTGAAAAAGGAACGACTGAAATAATTTAGCGTTGTATTACTAGTTAAAAGAAAAGAATTAAACGTAAGAATAACAATTGACTAGAAACTGATCAGAAATTGATAATAATTATTTAGAAACTGGCTAGTCTTATTGTCTTTTTACTTTCAAAACAAACGTCGACCGAATTGAGTAAGAT